AATTGGACTTGCGGTTTTCAACAAGAAGTCGAAAATATCACTTTTTACCAAAAATTACAAAAATATTCATCAAAATTAGAGAATTAAAGATATCATCATGAAATGAACAAATCTGAGAGAGGTCCACATGTAGTACCTATATATGTAATATCAAAGCAATTGGACTTGCGGTTTTCAACAAGAAGTCAAAAATATCACTTTTTACCAAAAATTACAAAAATATTCACCGAAATTAGAGAATTAAAGATATCATTACAAAATGAACAAATCTGAGAGAGGTCCACATGTAGTACCTATATATGTAATATCAAAGCAATTGGACTTGCGGTTTTCAACAAGAAGTCGAAAATATCACTTTTACCAAAAATTACAAAAATATTCACCAAAATTAGAGAATTAAAGATATTACAAAATGAACAAATCTGAGAGAGGTCCACATGTAGTACCTATATATGTAATATCAAAGCAATTGGACTTGCGGTTATCAACAAGAAGTCGAAAATATCACTTTTTACCAAAAATATTCACCAAAATTAGAGAATTAAAGATATCATTACAAAATGAACAAATCTGAGAGAGGTCCACATGTAGTACCTATATATGTAATATCAAAGCAATTGCACTTGCGGTTTTTAACAAGAAGTTGAAAATATCACTTTTTACTAAAAATGACAAAAATATTCACCAAAATTAGAGAATTGAAGATATCATCATGAAATGAACAAATCTGAGAGAGGTCTACCCAAGGTACATATACACCAAGTATCAAAGCATTCAGGCTTGTAGTTTTCAAGAAGAAGTCGAAAAAGTAAAACATTGACACGGACGACGACGACAGAGACGGAGACGGACAATCACTCATATGATAAGCTCCGCTCGACAAAGTCGACAGCGGAGCTAAAAAAAAACTAGAACAATTTGTGTGGATTTTTACTGTGAAAACTAATCACATCTATGCATTGTCCTAAGGCATCTACTAGTATATAACAAGTTTCATTGAAATATTGAGATTTTGGTGGAAAAGCTGAAAAATGGCTAATTATTACAACAAATTAGCTGATTAATATTCATGCGTTTTAACCAAAAACTAACCAGGTCTGTGCATTGTCCCAAGGCATCTATGTACAAAGTTTGAATTCATACATACACACAAAGATGGGAGTAAAAAATGTCCATTTGGTTCAAAATTGAAAATGTTATGGTTTTCCCGGACTAACAAATAATTATCTCCCAAAATAAAAAAATTTATAACATGCGTTCACATGCTGATTGTAACAAAAACTTATATTCATCATATGTATATACAGAGATAAAAACTGCAAGATGGAGCACTGCAATTCAGCGGAGCCACCAAGTGGGGGGGAGATAGGGTTCTCCCTAGGAGGGTGTGAAGTTTTTGATAATTCTAAGTTAAAATGGAGAATTCTATGACTTCCTTGGGGCCAAAATTACTATCAGACAGGCCACAGTTGAAGACTGTGGCCACATGTGATCCATGGTCATTCAGAATTTTATGGTTGCCAGAGGATCTGCTCCCAAGGGTAAGGGGGCCATGGACATGGCATGAGGGCGCTGTGCCCCTGTTCCCTTGTTTAAAAAAAATCCCTGTATATAAGAAGAAATACATCATTGCTGCACCTAACATCCTATTTAGAAAATAAATAAATAAATTTTGCATGAGAAGTATGGCAATTCAAATGAAATACCATACGGCATTATTACGTGATCATTTTAGAATCACTGTTTTGTGATTTCTAGACTAATGTGTTGGATGTCTTGAATACAAATGGCAGCCCAACAATTTGAAGTATTTAAGCCATGACTGCACTCTGAGAAACTAGACTAATCTGACACAGACTTAGCATCAACTCACTAACCAGAGTTTACATACACGTAGTGTCTACATGAATTACAATATGAACATTGTTCAGAAAGTGCTAAAACAAGATTCATGAATATTATACATGATTTTACTGTAATTTTCATGATTTGACGAATTAATGACGTAGAGAAAAATATTTCGTGAAAATCAGTGTGACACGGTGTACAAGACCCCAGTTTAATTTTCCCAGCTGCCAAACTTCATGATTTTTCCTGACTAATAGAATTTGTGGAAATATATCTTATGAAATTAAGTCAGACTGTTAATGGGCTTTTTTTGACCGATTGCTTGTGAATTTTTTTTGTGATCAAATCATGATAATTTGGCATTGTTTACTGCAAGCATTATTCAAATGCTGTATAAGTATACAGTCTGACAGTATGTATCCACCCATGACATGCCTCCCTCTGTGCAATCACATGTCAAATCAATGTCACTCACTTGACAGGATATGGTTTATTAAATTCCTTACGGATTGATAATACATTAATTTTCAGCAAATTAGTCATTAGATGTAATATAAAGTGTGAATAAAGCACAATGATATGAAGATCTAAGTAATTATAAATAAGTGTAATCTCACTTTTTTTTTGACCTGATATTAACTCTTTGAAAATACTGTATTTGCTCTATGAGAAGTGCATCTCTAATAGAAGCACTAATAAACCAAAAATTCTGATTCATTAAAAACGTTACCATAGAAATACCTTTGTCATTTATGTAAGTACACATTGCTAATAGAGCAAATATTATAGATAAAAATTTAGCTAATGATATGCATTGATTATAGTCAAATCATAGACTCGTACTAGAACGGTCGCCCTTGCAGCGGTAAGAACCTGGCCACAGTATGTTTGTATACATTTGCATGAAAATAAACCATGATTCCTTGGAGACATGTGTTCAGGTAATTTCTATTAGCTGTCAATACTACAAAACAGAAACTGAGTTCTGCATGTGAATTTATAGGATGAGATGACATCAATTTGGTGTTATCGAATACAATATATATACCGTTAAGTCCAAATTCAAAATTTTAGATAAGACATTCTGGATGAATAATGCTACAGTTAAATAGAGTACGCATAGTGTTATGTGATGAAGATATCATTAAAAACATACTCTTATATGAATCCATGTACTGTAAAATACTTTATTTTCGCTATTTTCACTGAAGGAATGATTTGGTGAAAATAAAATCCAACGAATATACCTTTTTTCCTATATTTTACATTAAACTCATCAAAAATAAGTGAAAATAAATTCCATACAAAACGCTCAAAAAGCCTTTTCAGCGAAAATTAATTCCAGCGAAAATAAAGTATTCCACAGTATTTCTAAAATGAAAGATTTGTGCATCATGTAACTTTTTATTTATCACTTTTTCCATAATAATTTCCCCCCCCAAAAGCTTCCATCCCACACACCCCAGTTTTCAAATGAGACATCCCTAATATACGTTTGTATATACATTGCATATACTGTAAAACATGTCTTTTTTGCGAGCATGTCGTTTTAGCGAATTTAACAAGAGAACTAATTGGCTAATTTAAGATGTCGCTAATGACTTCATTATAAATTCAAAATGGCGGCCAAACAACATCTTTTTCTCCACACACACACTTTGTAAACACAGAAAACGTAATAATCTGGAGCGCTTCCTTATTACACTTAAGAGTTTGTCTCTGTTTTAATGGAGGTGATAACTGCGCATTTGTTTTGGCAGGCAACAGACAAGTATTGTGAAAACAGGAAATCAACAAAGACAAGAGAGATTCGCTGAATCAACATTTCGTTATTACGTCATTTTTACCACAATTCGCAAAAATAGTACCGGGTTTTACAGTATACAATTTAAACCCTGAATAATTCTGTTGCCAATAAAATCCCAGTAGCAATCTGCACCAATTTACAATGTCAACATTCATGTATGTGATACACATCTAATTTAAGGTTGCAAGGAAAGATTACAAACCTGGTTTTGCAGCATTCAATATTCGGGTCCGATGAACTCCATTGGAAATTCCTGCATCATACGTCAAATGTTCCTCAGTTATCAACGTCAACATGTTCATATCAATCCCACAATTCACCAAATTATAGGTGTATTGATTATATTCAGGTCCCAGATCTTTTAACCAATTAGAGATCTCTTTGTGGTCTCGCCAACGTGCATTATACTTCAATCTTGCCAGCTCTCTTGTAAATCTAAAACAATAATAGTTAATAAAAATGTTAGCCCGGTACCAATTTTGAAAATTTATAAGCCATATGTCAGAGAATATCAAAGAAAGCTCTACTGTACAAGTTATTGGAGTTACACATAGTCTATAAATAGAAGTGCCAAATTCTCCAATATAGATGCAATCACGGTATTTTTACTATAAGTGGGATAACTGTGAGGTAAGTGCATGTCCAATATAAAGGTGAATGTACAGTATTGCAATTACTCTATTAGAATCACATATACAATATAGGTGCATAGACCATATTTGCTCTATTAGAATCACCAAATTGCCCAACCAATACGAAAAATGTCCTACTGGATTCCTAAAGAAAATTGTTCTATAGAATTGTGGCACATAGACCATATTTGCTTTATTAGTCACCAAATTCTCCAATCATTACAAAAATGTCCTATAGGATTCCCATAGGAAATTGTACAATGTACTATAGCGTATGTATATATTATTGCAGTTGCAGCACCAATGTGCATGTGAGCTAAAAAACTGTTTTTTTTTTTAAATGTTCACATATACCATACTCTTACTGTACCATTTATGCTAACTTTTAAAACAGGTTATTAAATATGTATTTCTAACACAGCAAATATGGTAATCATTAATCAGAGAGTTAAATTCTAGGTTAGATACGATTCAAATCGCATCAGGGACAAGATGGACAGAAAAAAAATGGTAATAAACGTCTCAGGAAAAAATAAATGCAGAACTACAGAGGCTGTATAAGTGATCGAGTTTATTAGTTTCTAATTCACTTAGGAGATTGGACGGAAATGTCCAATCACTGCAGGGAATTCATCCTGCTGGCAGGGATCATGGGAGAGGTAAAATAATCTGAGAGTTACATACTATAGTGGCAGCTTAAGAATTAACCTGACTCATCAGTTTTGAAATAATACATGTTAAAAACAAATCAACATGCACTGGTATGCAATAATAATTGTTTGGACAATTACAAAACAAACAGATGAATGTCACTAATTTATTTTAACTAACAATCCTTATCCATTATGTTTTATTTTTTGTTACTTTAATTACTTTTAACAACTGATAGAAATGTTTTTTTTTCTAAAGATGAAATAAAATGAGACTGTTATTCTTACTATAGTGATAACAAACTCGATTACTGACATATCAAAGTTTGTTGAAAACACTGCATATTAAATCACTCCGAGAGGCCCCAGACTTTATAAAGCAATGAGCACTGCCTGGGAATATGAATATCACAATATCACTGAATTATAGATATATGTCATGTTGATGAGACTCACAGGTCATGGCTACATATGCAATAAAAACCATTAAAGTAAAATTTTATATTAAAACTAGATTGCATGTGGTGATAAAACAAATCAATAACAGTTGCTGTCTACCATATGTGCTTGATAATTCGGAAGCACATGACAAGGTTAATGGGACAGCTCTCAACGAGGGAAGTCTTGTAATATGGACAAATATGACTCAGTTATATGGTTCAATGACCACCTGGATATATTCGTGACAGGTGTTCCCTCAGTGACAGTCTACTGATGTCTTGATCCAAGGGACTCTATAAATTCGAGAGAGTAATCAGGTGATAGGTTGTGCTAACCAGAAATCAAGAATGTTCTGATTTTCTCCTGCTATATCAACTAGTCTGCTAAATCAATATTAGTCTGTGTAGACATATAATCAGCTTTGATTGCATTGAAAATTGGATGCAAATTGATAAATTGTTTAATATTATTGCAAGTAGACCAATATACTGTATACTTAAATTGAATGTCATTGATTACTCATTTGAAATAAAATAAAAGCTGCCTATGAAAACAAATGGAATACGGAGAAAATTGTTTATAGAATTGTTCAGATGTGTAC